GCAGGCAGATCTTGGGCATGTGCCCTAGGCTGAACACATTCATTTATATGGTCATTTATTCACCTGGTCTTTATTGAACCATGCCTGACACCTGTGCTTATACTGGAACTATTTGTTGAAAAAAGAAATAAATCAGTGATTGAAAGGAGAGCTGAAAAGTTTCCACTGAATTCAGCATCAACAAAGTAATTGCTTAACTGGGTCAAAAATCTCCAATGGAATAGGTAAAGGGGAATCTGGATTAGAGATTTCTGGACTTGGTTTCTATAGAGAAAGGTCAGACACTAAAAGGACTCTTCTTTCTGGAATTCCAGAGATAATTTTTATGATTGTAAGGAAGAAAACACCTTTATTTTTATAGCAAAAGCAGAACATAAAGGAAAGGATTGAGTATATAAAAGGTAGCATTTTCCACATTAAAAAGCCACCACGTGGTAGATACACAGACTTACACATGTTGCATAGAACTAACTGCTCATGGACACCCCCCAACCTCCACCCTCGCCCCCCCACACATGGGTACAAGTAAAATTGGGGAAGTCTGAACAAGATCAGTGAATTTTATCAATGTCAGTATCCTGGTTGCAATATTGTACTATAGTTCACAAGATGTAACTGTTAGGAGAAGCCAGGTACCCACAGTCTCTTTGTATTATTTCTTATGGCTGCACATGAATCTACAATTATCTCAAAATAAAAAGTTTAATTTAAAAAGACCACCATAAAAAATAAAAAGGTAAGCTGGGTGGGGCCTCTTCAGGCCCTTCTGCAGCTCAGTGCTGAGAAAAGACCCTAAAATATCTGGGGGATGTCTCTGAACAGGTTGCAGAGGGACCTGGAGGGAGAAGACAGGGAAACTCAGGGGAGGTGGGGCTGTGAAATCAGAACCCAGCCTGGGACTCAAAAGACCTCCTGCAGGAATGGACGTGTGTTTTGGGGGGTTAGGTGATGGGCCCCGGGAGTTAGAGATAGGGTACAACCTGCCATTCCATTATCCCATTATTCATTTTCAAAAGCATAGGTGTATTGATCTGATAAGCAATTGCAGTCTTGAGAATCAAGCATATTTGCATGATTAGAGATTTTTTTTAAAAAGGCAAGTTAGAAATGGATATGCAACATAACTACTGGTCTCTCAGCTCCAGGAGAGAGCAGGATCCTGACTTGTCCAGCTGGGTTCCTACTTTAAAATGCATATTTTATTATTTTATTGAGGGATGGTGAGGCATGTGGATCAGGAGTCTATTGCCCCTGAAGAGATGGCTTATTACTCACAGTTGCTAAAACGAGGGACAAGCCACACTGAGCAGGGCCAGCAGGGAAGCTCCAGCGAGCATTGGGAGTAGGGGGGCAAAGCGGGGCAGGGTGAGCAAGGGCCTTTATTGCAGTTTCTGTAGGAAGAAATGGGTGAAGTGAGGTAAACAGGTTTAGCAGTGGCTAGTTGGATTAATTTTAGTGACTCTGGGGCATAGGGGCCACCCCTAGTTGTCTGGTATCTGGCCCTGGGTAATGAAGGCCGGGAGATAGTGGCCCAGAATGTGGTAGGGGGTGGGGTGGGGCGGGTGGCTCCAGATAGATTAGTTTGCATAAGAAAGGTGCTCCCACTTTCTCTAGGAATTCTCTGAAGAATTCCTGGGGACACTGGGAGAGGCCCCAAGGGTCACAGCATCAGAAACATGAGGTTAATGCAATGTCCAAGGTCCAGAACAGGTCCTCGGACCTACTAGGGACTCAGTGAATTATTTGTGGAAGGAAGGAAGGAAGGGAGGGGAGAGAGGGAGGGGAAAAAGGGAGAGAGAGAGTTGGCCTTCTGAGGACTCCTCGGATACCTGCACCACTTTGGGACCCTCTTCTGTCCCTTGGGCTAAGTGGGAACTACCCTCCCTCTTCTCTAGGCATCCAGGAACTCTTCTCCTAACAGGTGACTCCAATCCCTGATTATGGAAGCACATCAAATGGGCTCACCAGGGGAATGTTTGAACCATTTCCTCCTCCATGAGGCAGCTTTTCTATCCATCCATACTAATCACTCCCTTACAGCCTCAAACTCAGACAAGATTTTGTTGTTTGGGTTTTTCGTGTCATTTGCTGGATTGTGGATAGGAAATGCTGCACAGAATAAAAATACAAACTGCATCAAGGGCTGAGAGTGGAAGTCAAACCCCCACCCCGTGCTGTCTTCCCCTTTCCCAGTTCCCTGGTTTCCCTGATGCGTTGTCCTTGCGCCACCCTCCAGACTGTCCACATAAGAGTGAAACCATCCACTCCTGTGCCATCACACAGGTGTATAATGTACACATTGTTCTCCACTCTTTGTTTGCTTATCTTTGAGCTTATTCCACATCAACGCATATGGTACTGCCTTATTCTTCTGAAGTCTGAACAGGATCACACATTTTGGATGGGCCATAGCTGTTTTAAGCACACTCTCCCTGATGGACAGACATCTAGGCTGTTTTCCAATCCTCACTTCTGTAAACCATGCTGCACCGAGCACCCTGTGTGCACATCCCCATACACAGGTGTGGGTATCTTTAGGATGAATTCTGAGAAATGGAATGGTCTTGTGGAAGGTGCATGTGCATGAAATTTGCAGGTTGTCAACCAAAGAAGGCATACCAATTACACCTCCACCTTGTGTGTGGAAGACAACAGGTCTGTCTTTTTGTCTGATTTAACACTTAGATAGAGTGGCAGTTCCTCAAATCCTGGGTCTGGCTGGGAAATCAGTCCTGGAGTTTTAGGTGTACAATCTACCCCAGCCAGCTGTCTGACCCTGAGGACACAAAGTGTGCCAGGGGGCTGCGAAGACAATCTCTCCAGGCCTCAGTTTCTTCATCTAAAAGTGAGGAGAGGACTCTGCTGGGGATCTGAAAGTTCTCTTCCACACCTAGCCTTCCAAGTCCTTCTGCCTCCCCAGGCCTCTGTGCTCCCATCTGTAAATTGGGACCAGTAGTCACTACCTTGTTTGTCTTCTGGCTGATGTGAAGATGCAAAGAACTGGTGGACATGCAAGGAAAGTTGGGTGCTCTGCCGAGGGAAGGAGTAATAATCAAACACTTTTGGAATCCCTTGCCAGACCACTGGCATGGCCTGGGGGCATACAGTAGGCACTCCGTTAAAGTTTTAGGCTGAAGGAATATTGTGTGGGGAGGCAGAATAATGTTGGGACTGTCTAGAGGCAGGAGATGCCTTCACCTATGTTCCCTCTGCCTAACATGTGGTTCCTTCTGTGTGGGCTGGGCTTTTTTCTGTGTCTCCAGGACTGATCAAGGAGCCTGGCACACTGCGGGTGTTTCAGGATGGAGGCTGTGCCCAGTGCCGGATGTGGCAATGTTCTCGTCCCAGGTATCATGTGACTTTGAGAACTGATTGGGGGACAAGCTCCTTGGCATCTATGCTTTTGTCCCTGCATCCCTGCCCCTCCTTTACCTGAGTGGGGTGGACCCCAACAGACTTTTGGTCCAGGGGCCACAAACTCCACCGTCCCTCCTCCGTGACACTGGGAGACAATGGGGAGTGGTGGAGAGTGTGGTGCCCGGGTGCAGTCCTGCTCAGCTCTAGCTGGCTGTTGTCAGGAGTCACTCTTTTATAAGAGATTTTCAAGAGGAGCCACAAATCCAAATTTTTCCTGATTTCTCCTGGTTTTTAAATGTTAGTTATTCAAGTTTTTTCAAATCATGCTATGGGAATCAAACCAAACTGGCTGTGAACTAGTGGTGGCCCACAAGTTACCAGTTTGTGCATTCTGAAAACTATGCCCCTTCTCTCCACTGTACAAAGGGGACCGACCACTGGGGCCCAGAGAAGGAAGGCATTTGCCAGAAGTGACACAGTCAGGATCAGAGGCCAGGTCCCACTTGTGCCCTCCTTCCTTCCTGCCTTCCTCCTCCACTCCTGTTTTTCTCCTGCTACCTCCACCCCATGTCTTTCTCCTTTTGCATGTGTCTCTTTTTGCGTGTGTCTGACCGGTATTACTGTCGCTCTACACGCATCTCTGAGTCTTTGTCTATCTCCTGTTCTCTCCTGTGTCTCTTTTTAATTGTGTGATTCTCTCATATCTCTCTGTCTTGGTCCCCTACACGAGTGTTACTAGACCTTTCGAGCTGGGTGCAGACACGACCCCGCCCCAGCACCCCAGACTGTGGCTCGTGCCTCCTGCTCTCGGCCCCGCCGCTCCCGCCCCAGATTTCCGGTGGGCGGGCAGGCGGGGTACCCACGGGGCCGGCTGCCGTCAGCGCCCCTTCCCGGCGCCCGCGACCCCTCCCCGCTGACCTCACCCGCGCCTCTGCCTGGCGCAGATATAAGCAGCGGCCCCGGGGAGGAGAGGGCAGCCGGCGCCGGGGTCCTTCGAGCGCCCTCGACCCACCGACTCGACCCTGAAACTCCGACCTCGGGGCCCCAGGATCCCGGACCGGTCCGCGGAGCTCGCGCCGGGCAGGTAACCACTTCCGCCAGCTCACCCCCGCAGGCTCACTGCAGTGGGGGCCGTCTGCTCCCGCCCTCGGGGCGCCCCGGGAGAAGCCGCGGCTTCTGTCCCCCGAGCGCCTCCCAGAGGGTGGCATCCGCGCACATGTGGGGTGGTGCGCCCGTCCCCCACGGTTACCACGGCGCTGGCCCGGGACCTGACGGGAGGTCCGGCGCAGGCTCTCGGAACGCATCCACCCCGTGCACTCGAGTCCCGGCATCTGGAGCGCTGGGCGCCGAGCGTCGGGGGGGAAGCTTCGCCATCCACCCCCGCCTGGGCGCCCGCTTAGGTCCGCACCCGGACTCGGCCAGAGCCAGGCAGTCAGGGCGTCGGCTGGAGGGCCTGGGAGTTAGAATCCGAATCCGAACGTTAGAACCAGAATTGTCGCTTTGGAATAGAACCTTAGCCTTGAAATTTGTCAGTTCTGGAAATAAACTTTTAGCTTTGGAATTTAAGTTGAAATTAGGATTTTTAGAGTTAGAATTAGATTCCTAGTTTAGCGGTGGAATCAGTGCTAGCAGCGGAATCCTAGCTTCGGAATGAGTCCCTTGGCGTTGGAGGAAGAATGTTGCGCGGGGAGCCTCGCGGAGCATCTCCGCCAGCGGCGCGGCAGTCAGCCTCTGGGCCGTCGGGCCGGCGCTGCAGTCTCGGTGGCTGCGCTCCCGGGGACCAGCCCCAGCGCTGGCTCCCCCCGCCCCGCGTGACGCTGGCGAGCGGCGGTGGCGATGGGGTCGCACCATCGGCAGGCACGCCGCGCATTTCCATGGGTGAGGACGCCGAGCCCGAGGCTGGTCTTCCTGCTCCCAGGGGTGTGTTCGGACCGGCTTGGGGATCCCCGGGGACAGGAAAGGGGGAGATGAAGCCGGCTGGGTTGGGGGTACAGCCCGCTTATGCTGTCTGTCCTCCCTATTCCAGACGCCGCGATGCCCGGCCCTTGGCTGCTGCTCGCCATGGCTTTGACCCTGACACTGACGGGTGTCCCCGGAGGCCACGCACAGCCCGAGGTGGCCCAGCAGGAGGCAGCGATGGCAGCCGAGCCTCCGGGCTTGGATGACCTCCTGAGCCAGGCGGAGCGCCTCCTTCTCCTCCGGGAAGACCTCCAGCGGCTGCGAGGGGACCAGGGCAATCGCCCATCAGGTGAGTAGGGGTTCTATCTCTGGCTGACCTGTAGAGAGGAAGCCGCAGAGAGGGCTCGGGGCGGGGAGGGGAGGGAGGGAGCGGGGGCAGTGGGGAGGAAGCAACTTGGTCATCTGGCCTCTTGCCTCTCAGATGCTTAGAAACTGTCACTGGTCACACTCCGCACGGTTGTGAGTTGACCCTTTCCTGAGATCAGATTCCTCTTCCATCTCCATCGTGGGAATATTTCACATAGAGCAGATCTTCAGTGGGGAGAATTCTGTGCAGGGGGAGAGAGAGAATCTCCTTGTGGGTGACAGTTTTAATTACTATTTACTAGGTGCATATATGCCAGGCACTGTTCTAAGCATTTCAAATACCTTATCACACTATTTGATCTTCCCAACAACCTCTTAGATAGATAATGTTATTGATCCCATTTTACACGGAAGGAAATTGAGGCTCAGAGAAATCAGGTGAGTTGCTTATGGCCACACAGCTAGGAAGTGGCAGAGCTGGGATGGGAACCAGAGGTCATGCTTTTGATTATCTGTGCGAATGTGTATGTCTGTGCAGCTTGAGAGGCACGTGCCAGGCCATGACTCTGGGTGGGGGCTGCAGGGACCCTGCCTTGACTGGGAGGAAGGCTGGAGTGGGCACTCAGGGGCCAGGGAGCCCCTCATGGACCTTCTTCCTTCCCCAGAGTCCCAGAGCTTTCAACTCGACTGGCTCTCTAAGCGTCAGCATCCAGGCAAGAGAGAGGAGGCAGAAGAGAGAGTTTTAGAGGAGGAGGAGGAAGGAGGAGCTGTGGGGCCCTACAAACGGCAACACCCTGGCCGGCGGGAGGACGTGGCTGGATGGTCAGCCGATGACGCCCAACAGAAGTGGCAGCACCCTGGCCGGCAGGCCTCCTTACTTGGGTACGCCGTCACCAAGAGGCAGCACCCAGGCAGACGGCTGGTGGATCCCAAGTTCCAGAGGAGCTGGAAAGAGGAAGAGGAGGAGGAGGAAGAGGGAGAGCTGATGCCTGAGAAACGCCAGCATCCGGGCAAGAGAGCCCTGGGAGGCCCATGTGGGTTCCGAGGAGCCTGTGGTCAAGCTGGCCTCCTGTTGGGCCTCCTGGATGACCTACGCAGGGGCCAGGAGGCTGAGGAGAAGCGGCAGCATCCTGGGCGACGGGCAGCATTGGCCAGAGAGCCCCTGGAAGAGTGAGCCCCGTTTTTTGCACAGTCAAGTTTGTGGTCTAAGAATGTCCTGAGCCCTGTGTGCCCTTTCCCTTGGTGACCCCCTCTTTCCCTCCTCCTTAGATCCCTGATCATAAACCTGAGCCCAGTATATACACATCCCCGAGCCCCTGGCCTGGCCGCCTCCTTCAGGGTCATGAGAAAGCCAGCCTTTGAGGTAAAACCCCATATTGCCCCACTTTGCACCGCTGGCAAGGGAGCAGATCCCAGAGTCCCTCTCCCTGACCCCTGCAGTCCTGCCTCCCTTCCTTAGTCTGGGTAAAATGACCCTTCTTTCTCTTCTAAGGGATCCCAGAGAGGGGCAGGGTGCTTCCGGGGTGAGCCTCCAACAAGGACTGGGTAGGATTGAAGCTGTGATTTTAAATCCTGCTTCCATTACCTGCCGCACATGTCAAGATTCATTATGTAAACTTTACCCCTAGAACCCAGGGGCTCCTTCCCTTCTTGGGCATCCTTTTGTAAGTGGGCAGAGCCCTGACCCACAGCTGCATTCTGCTTGCAGTAAGCATTGTAGGTGTCTCACCCTATGGTGCTCTGCGGGGTGGTGGTTGTGGGAATAAATGCATGTAGGAATATGTCAACATTGCCCTGGAATGTTGTGGCTTGTATATAACCTCTAGGTACCTTCCCCTTGTCAATGGGCATCATCCTAATGATAATAAAATATGCATCTAGATGATCTTGGAGCTCTGTGGTTGTAATTCTTTCTCAGCAAGGGGTGGAGTTCTTCTTCACCACTGAGAAGGGACAGGACTGGAGCTCCCCAGCTCTGCTGAGAAGGAAATCAGGACCCTGGGGGTTGAAATGTCCTCTCCACTGCCCCCATCTCAGAACAAGTTTGGGAGATGGACAGGGTCTCTGGACTCCATTTAAAACCTGGGGAAACCAAGGCTGGGAGAAGAGGAAGGCCTTGTGAAAAGATACACAGCTGGCTGAGGTGAAGCTAAAGGTCTGAGAGGGCCGCTCAGGACCCTGCCTTGAGTTTGCCTGAACTGGGAAAGGGCTGATCTGCCTCACATTTGTAATCATTGTAGTTACGTGGCAGGAATCAATCGTGTGTGTCAGCCAGCCAGGCACACTAGAGACAGAAGACCAGGCTGTGATTGGATACTCAACTAGGGGTCTTCTAGGGCCAGGCAGGGAGGCAGGCTGGGTGCAGGGCAAGAGGGAGTAGGGGGGTCTAGGACAAAATGAAGAGGCCATCTGAAGACACTAAATCCAAAAACTTTAACAATCCAGTAACAACATCAAGAGCATATATGCAACACATTGTGTCAGGCACTGTCCTAAGCACTTACACCCACTTATTCTTTTAATTCTCATGGCAATTTCTCTGGGAATAACTATTATTGTGCCCAATCTCCTAATGAGGAAACTAAGGTACAGAAAGGCTATGTAATTGCCTGAGGCTGAATTTGGCCCACTCATTGCCAGTTTGTAACCTCTGATTTATACTCCAAATGGAGTCTGAACTAGTTAGATGCTGAACCAGTTAGACCATCCTCTGGTGGAGGGGTGGGCTATTTGGCTTTCCCACAAACAGTGGTCACTGGGTAGAGAGAGGAAGGAGGGGGCTTGAAGGGTGCCTGCGCCCTAGCTCCTCTGCTGCAAGAGCTCACAGTTCAGGTGGGGCAGGGATGGTGGAAGACTCTGGGTTTATAAGATGCATTCACACCCACCATCTCCACTAAATTCCCTCTGAACCATTGAACATTTGATGGATTTTCAGATTCTTTTCATTTTCAGATGAAGATGAAATGAGCACAGAGACTAGGGCCCCAAGGTCATGGAGAGCTGGCCTTCCCTTTGCTTGACTTTCCACCCCACCTGGCCAGGATCTTCCTCATCTGAAGACTTTAGTCGCCTCCCTGCCAGTCTCTGGCTTCCACTCTTGTCCCCCAAGCCCATTCTCTACACACAGCCCCAGGGACTTTCTCGAACTGCAAAGCTGATCAAGGTAACCACCTCACTTAAGACCATGTAAGTGGCTCCCATTTCACCCAGGATAAATCTAAACTCCTTGCCATAGTCACAATGACCTGCCCAGTTGGACTCTTTTGTGTTAACTGCACACACCGCTGGGCCTTTGTTCATGTTATTCCCCCTGTCTAGAGCCCTCTTTGCTCCTACTCCTCATGTTCCCTGGGCTACCTTAATAGGGCACCTTCCTGTACTGTGGAGGTTGGGAAGCTCAGACTACATTTCCCAGACTCCCCTGCAGCTAGAGTGTTGAATGTACATTAAGTTCTCTATGTGAGTGTGAGATTGGAAGGCTTCTTTGACTATTCCCGCTGGAAATCAAGACTGTACTAAGGTGTGGTATTTCTGTGACAGCATTCCGGGGTCCAAAGGCCAGCTTTGGAAGTATCTTGAGTCAGCTTTCAGGCAGCTTCATACCACAGGAGTAAGTTTTTTCTTTTCTTTTTAAACAACTTTATTAAGGGTGTATTTTACATATCATGAAATTGACCCATTGAAGGTATACAATTCAATGATTTTTAGCAAATTTACCTACTGATACAACCATCACCAGAAATGGGTTTTAGAACATTTTCAGACCCTCAGTAAGGGTCCAGTTAATGTCTTTCTCCATCCTCAGCCTCAGGCAATCTACTGCCTATCAGTTTGCCTTTTCTAGACATTTTATACAAATAAAATCATACACTGTGGGGTTTCTTGTGCCTGGCTTCCGCCAGTTAGCCTAATGTTTTTGAAGTCCACGAGGATCATGTTTCAACAGTTTGCTCCTTTTCACTGCTGAATAGTATTCCAAGCAGTGAGTTCTTGAACCCCACAACTCCAGTGGTGGCCTCCCTTTCCCACCAGCCTGACTGGAAACAGAGGAAACAGATTCCCTGGCAGGTTGCTTCCAGGCAGGTCACTTTCATGGCATCACTCTGCAAGTCTGCTCCTCAAGCCCTTCGACAATATCATAAATTTCTGCTTCTGAAAGCAGCATTCAAAATATCCAACAACAGGTACAAGACGGTGTCAGCCAATCAGGACACACATCCAATCAGGATGGACTGATTCTGACACACCTATGATGCCACAGCTGTGCAAGGAGCTGATTGCCAGCCCTGCTATGTTAACCCTTTCTGCTTAACTTTTCCAAAATGGTTTCTGTTTGCTTTGCTGAGTCCTGATGGTTCACATGAGGTAACTCTTCCTTCTCCTTTGCTGTCACTTCAGACAACTTTGTCAGGATGTGGCACTGCATCCTTCCACCCCCTTCCTTGCGGCTAGCACAGTTTGTAATTCTACCTCCCTCAGGCTGGGTTCCCCCTGCCCAGATCCTTAGACTTGGGTTTAAGTCCCAGTGTTTGAGTTGGAGGGTGATCCCAGGAAGTGGTCTGGGAGCAGGGGAGTCATTTGGGGAAAGGAAGGAAATGAACACAGGATGTATTAATAGGCAGGTTTTTCTTGGGATACTGCAGAACAGTAGCATCTCCGCCAGCGGCGCGGCAGTCAGCCTCTGGGCCGTCGGGCCGGCGCTGCAGTCTCGGTGGCTGCGCTCCCGGGGACCAGCCCCAGCGCTGGCTCCCCCCGCCCCGCGTGACGCTGGCGAGCGGCGGTGGCGATGGGGTCGCACCATCGGCAGGCACGCCGCGCATTTCCATGGGTGAGGACGCCGAGCCCGAGGCTGGTCTTCCTGCTCCCAGGGGTGTGTTCGGACCGGCTTGGGGATCCCCGGGGACAGGAAAGGGGGAGATGAAGCCGGCTGGGTTGGGGGTACAGCCCGCTTATGCTGTCTGTCCTCCCTATTCCAGACGCCGCGATGCCCGGCCCTTGGCTGCTGCTCGCCATGGCTTTGACCCTGACACTGACGGGTGTCCCCGGAGGCCACGCACAGCCCGAGGTGGCCCAGCAGGAGGCAGCGATGGCAGCCGAGCCTCCGGGCTTGGATGACCTCCTGAGCCAGGCGGAGCGCCTCCTTCTCCTCCGGGAAGACCTCCAGCGGCTGCGAGGGGACCAGGGCAATCGCCCATCAGGTGAGTAGGGGTTCTATCTCTGGCTGACCTGTAGAGAGGAAGCCGCAGAGAGGGCTCGGGGCGGGGAGGGGAGGGAGGGAGCGGGGGCAGTGGGGAGGAAGCAACTTGGTCATCTGGCCTCTTGCCTCTCAGATGCTTAGAAACTGTCACTGGTCACACTCCGCACGGTTGTGAGTTGACCCTTTCCTGAGATCAGATTCCTCTTCCATCTCCATCGTGGGAATATTTCACATAGAGCAGATCTTCAGTGGGGAGAATTCTGTGCAGGGGGAGAGAGAGAATCTCCTTGTGGGTGACAGTTTTAATTACTATTTACTAGGTGCATATATGCCAGGCACTGTTCTAAGCATTTCAAATACCTTATCACACTATTTGATCTTCCCAACAACCTCTTAGATAGATAATGTTATTGATCCCATTTTACACGGAAGGAAATTGAGGCTCAGAGAAATCAGGTGAGTTGCTTATGGCCACACAGCTAGGAAGTGGCAGAGCTGGGATGGGAACCAGAGGTCATGCTTTTGATTATCTGTGCGAATGTGTATGTCTGTGCAGCTTGAGAGGCACGTGCCAGGCCATGACTCTGGGTGGGGGCTGCAGGGACCCTGCCTTGACTGGGAGGAAGGCTGGAGTGGGCACTCAGGGGCCAGGGAGCCCCTCATGGACCTTCTTCCTTCCCCAGAGTCCCAGAGCTTTCAACTCGACTGGCTCTCTAAGCGTCAGCATCCAGGCAAGAGAGAGGAGGCAGAAGAGAGAGTTTTAGAGGAGGAGGAGGAAGGAGGAGCTGTGGGGCCCTACAAACGGCAACACCCTGGCCGGCGGGAGGACGTGGCTGGATGGTCAGCCGATGACGCCCAACAGAAGTGGCAGCACCCTGGCCGGCAGGCCTCCTTACTTGGGTACGCCGTCACCAAGAGGCAGCACCCAGGCAGACGGCTGGTGGATCCCAAGTTCCAGAGGAGCTGGAAAGAGGAAGAGGAGGAGGAGGAAGAGGGAGAGCTGATGCCTGAGAAACGCCAGCATCCGGGCAAGAGAGCCCTGGGAGGCCCATGTGGGTTCCGAGGAGCCTGTGGTCAAGCTGGCCTCCTGTTGGGCCTCCTGGATGACCTACGCAGGGGCCAGGAGGCTGAGGAGAAGCGGCAGCATCCTGGGCGACGGGCAGCATTGGCCAGAGAGCCCCTGGAAGAGTGAGCCCCGTTTTTTGCACAGTCAAGTTTGTGGTCTAAGAATGTCCTGAGCCCTGTGTGCCCTTTCCCTTGGTGACCCCCTCTTTCCCTCCTCCTTAGATCCCTGATCATAAACCTGAGCCCAGTATATACACATCCCCGAGCCCCTGGCCTGGCCGCCTCCTTCAGGGTCATGAGAAAGCCAGCCTTTGAGGTAAAACCCCATATTGCCCCACTTTGCACCGCTGGCAAGGGAGCAGATCCCAGAGTCCCTCTCCCTGACCCCTGCAGTCCTGCCTCCCTTCCTTAGTCTGGGTAAAATGACCCTTCTTTCTCTTCTAAGGGATCCCAGAGAGGGGCAGGGTGCTTCCGGGGTGAGCCTCCAACAAGGACTGGGTAGGATTGAAGCTGTGATTTTAAATCCTGCTTCCATTACCTGCCGCACATGTCAAGATTCATTATGTAAACTTTACCCCTAGAACCCAGGGGCTCCTTCCCTTCTTGGGCATCCT